CCACACCTACAAACCCTGGGTAATTTGAGATTGTTTGAATATTGCACGAACCAATAAACTTGTAAACAGTTCAATAAAGGTCTTGTGACGATAGGCCCTGTTTTTTATAATTAGTTGAAATAAGATTTGTTATAATAAGAATGTTAAAAATGTATTGTTTCTCAACTTGTTAATAAAAAGAGGGGGGAGATGTGGCAGGAAGAATGTAGCAATGAACCATGGGAGTTGTGGTCTCCCAGGTTCTCAGACAATAGTTGATTGTCATTGGTTAGAGGGTCACGTGACATGTTCAGGCGTGGTATTTAAACCTAGGCAGTTGGAATAAACGGTAATTCTGCTCTGGTACTTGTTCGTGTTTGAGTGGGGTTCGTGCCTTGAACAGCACCTCAGACGTGTGCCTTCATGGACTAGGGGTTTCTTTCTCCACAAGTTTTTCTAATTTTCTATGACTGTTTATATGCACCTTAACGGTGTAGGTGCTTTAATGTGCGCATGTGAAGTATTTTTACCATCTTAGGAGTCTTTCTGCTGTGCCTTTTGCAATCGGTTATGTCTATCTCGTATTGGCCTCATTAGCCACCAGCGTGCCTGTAACAAATGTGGATAGAGCCTTCCTTAATCTTCGTTCGTGAAGCCCAGCCATGACAAATGAAGTATTTAGCCGCTGCTGAAAGCTATATGAATCTATGAATATGAATGTGAATGTCCTGATTGTGGCCTCAGCAGACTTACTGTATCAGTGCTGCCGCTGTGCTACTCTCTCCTTCTCCTTTTTTTACATTTATATTAAAGTCTGTACGAGCCCACTGCTGTCCCTCGTGTCCTAGTCGGTGCGGGAGCTGCGGGGGCCGCTCGCCCCGTCCGGGCGGGGAAAGACCCGAGGGAACGCCCGCGGGTGCCGAGGGGGGAGGGCACGTTCACCCTGAGGGAGCCAAGATGGTGAAACAAACGCCCTCATGGTTCCACCAATCAGCGACACCCACTGGGGGGGGAGGGGGGCCTAAAGCCTCGCTATTGGCTGTTTGACCCGTCACTCTTGGCTCCCTCGCACGCTGATTAGTCGCAGCCGTGGGGGTGCGTCCCGCCCAGAAAGGAGTCCACTGAGTAGTCCACGGAGCCCTCGGAGTCCCGGTCCCTGGCGGTGTTGAAGGTGAGACTGGATGTGGAATGGTCTGGGAAGCATGGCGGGGTTGGATCAAGGGTTGGACTTGATGATCTCGGAGGTCTTTTCCAACCTGGTCGATGATTCTGTGAGAGGCCGCTAAGACAGCCCGGACTTGCATAGTGGTGTAACCACCTCCCTTTCATAAACCAGTATATCCCAACCAGTAAACAGAATCCTTTACTGGATTTACTCCAAACTGCCAGGGCAGGGGCTGTTCCCGGGCTGGGAAGGGCCCATGAGGGGACCGGGGACGGGGCTGAGGCTGCAGGAGCCGGACCCTGAGCTCCCGTTTGTCTCCACAGGTCACTGTGAACGGACAGGGCAGGACTTTGCTGGCATCGCCTTCCTGAGCCCGGGTGTCCCGCAGGGCCCAGCCATGTCCTCTCATCATGTGCTCTCCACTCTGCCAAAACAGTGGTGGTAAAACCACCCCCAAGCCTGGGCTGAAAGAGGCTTTGCCAGCACCGCTGATGACTCAAGATGCAGCTTGTCACAAGCAGAGAGGTGGCACTCGTGAGTTTGGAGTGTGTGCGGATGTGGAGGGTGGATTCTGCTCCGGGGACCGGATTGTGAAGGAGCCCCTGGGT